TAATTTAATTTAATTTAATTTAATTTAATTTAATTTAATTTTTTCTTTTCTTTTCTTTTCTTTAATTTTCTTTTCTCTTCTTTTCTTTAATTTTTCTTTAATTTTATTTTTATTTTTTTGGTCTGATTGAGTATACACTATTTTCATAATAATTTTAATACATTTTAATAGCTTTTATTTTAATTTTAAAATAAAATTTTAAAATTACATATTTGACATTTTAGTAGTTCCATTTAGCTTTTTTTTTAATTTAATTTAATTTAATTTATTTTTTGTCTTAAAGATAAAAAATGAAATAAAATAAAATTATTTTTTAATCTGATTGAGAAAGTGTTCGGCTTCATAGGTTTACTTTGCTAATCGGATCGATTGCGGTGTTTATATGAAGGCTTTTCAGTCTGATTCAGTCTGAATCCGTGCGATTGACGTGCATGTAAGCATAGCCGGTGTTGACACACTGATAAGAGGAGGAGCTCGTTCCTGATGTTTCTTTTTGACCATGTCAAATGAAAAGTGTGTCTATTAAATGCATTTGACAGCGGCAAATCTGAGCTTGAATTTATTAAAGACATTTGGCATTAAAGGCATTTTAGTGGCAAATATCTGTCAAATTCAACGGATAGATCTGACTACCAGAAAACTGGAAATGCATGTGTAGTTAGTGCAAAAATATGTTTTCAGAGTTTCAAGTTTCTTCTTCACTGGAGCATCCGGTGCGATTCATCAACCAGAAAACAGGACACAAAAGAGGCTCTTGTTATTTATTTATTCCATTCTTGTACCCCATAAATTGAGCGGAAGCGTTACGCTGAGCGATAAAGAGGATGGAAAGATGAAAAGCCGCCGTTTCGACCTGACCCATTTTTCCATATTGAATAGATGTCATTTTCCACATGCGAGTGGAGCGCACCCGGTCCCCTGCTAAACCGGTCTGTTAATAAGTCTGTTTTTACGGGTTTTCCTGTCAAATGGCTTCATCATAAAAGCAGACACATTAACACAGACGGTCCCCAGCAGAGAAGCCTCTTCTGAAGCTTAATTATGACTGAAGAGGGGAAAGATAATGAAATCGCTGCACATGTCTGCAGGCCTTTGAACTCTGGGAAAAGGGAAAGATAAAAACATGTTGAGCGGTTTGACTGATCAAAGCCTTCAGTCGGTTGCATAGTCTGTAAGATATTTCAGCAAAAAGTATATTTTCGCCACAAGCATGTCAAAAAACTGTTCAAATAAACGCTGAACCAAACCAACCAACATTTAGGAAAAAGAAAGTGGCATTTGCAACCCATGATGTGTCTGGATATTTAACTAGAAAAACGTGTTTTTTGTCCATTGGGAACTGATTGAATTGTGAAAAGTTTAAGCAAAAGTGCCACTAAGTTTGAATGGCTACATGTTTTTCCCTTTACACAGGCATCACAAAACTTTTCCGATCATCAGGTGAGAGCGATTTCTATCCGTGCCGCTGTGGTTTTCTGCTTGCTGCTGCTGCTGCTGCTTCTGCTTTTTTGCAAGTGCATGTTGTGTTATGGTGGCATCATGTTGCTTGCTATACATAAAGGCAAAAAATGCATTTATTTGAGCAAAATGTGAACATTAAAAGCCAGCAATTTGCTTAAATGAAACAAGGTGTGTCAAAGCAGCAAGTCATTTCCATTTAAACATATATTAAAAATTAATAAATAAAAAGGAAATGAAAAAAGTTACATTTCTAAGGCCTCTAAATGATCAACGTGATCAAAACGTTGCTGAAAAACCTGTTGCACGCAATCTACTACATGCCTTCTGTCGTCTAATTGATAGTTTAATATTTTTATTTTTTACTATAATTGTACAAACGTCCACCTTTAGCTTGTGGTTCACGTGCGCTTTCGCTATGAAATCTTTATTGATTTTTTAAAGTAAATAATGTTGATACAGTCAGTACTATTTCAAAATGAACACTTACTGGACTGAAGCAACTTTTTTATTATTATTTTTGTTAATATTTTTAAAAAAATATATTTTTTATTTGTTTTTGTATTTTTTTTTTACTTTCATCTTTACAATTTAATTTTCAAGTTTTAGAATTTTTTTGTTTTTGTCACTTATTTTTGTTATTCATTTTTTTTATATGCCTATATAATTTGTATTAATTTTTATTTCAGTTGTAGTTTTTTTTAGTACATCAGGTTAAACTTAAAAAAAGAAGAAATGTTGATTTTGGAAGCTAGCTACAATTAAAAGTTGTTGTTTTTTATATTTCATTTTAGTTAGCATTTACTTAAAGTACATCTTTTTTATGGCTTTAGTTTTAACTATAATAACCCTGCTTGTATGACAGCGTCACTGGAGTCTTGAGGCATTTTGAGGGCCATCAGCAACAGAAATAAACCTAAATGAAGTGTCAAAAGTCACACGAGTGCCAAATCAATGAAATGACACAATTTCACACATTATAAAGTCATCTCAGACGGTTTTGCTCATGTTGCAGTGTTTTCTTGACATCTAAACTTTCATATTAATTAGGGGTGTAACGGTACACATATTCGTACTGAAAATTTTCCATACGGGTCTTTCGGTTCGGTACGCATGTGTACTGAACAAATACAGCGTTGTTTTAACCACTGCATGAGTGGAACTTCATTGGAAACTTCCAGTTTTATATATTGTTACTTTTGACAAGAAACAAAGTCTCATCTTTAAAATTATGTTCTTTTTATTCAGGAAATGGAAATTCCGATCGCTGTATAAATGCCTCAGTTCAAACGGCAGCGCGATCATCTCTTCCTCTTTACTACTAGTTTTAGCGCGAAATAAACATGAATGAACATCTCACACCTCATGTAATCGCTCAATCAGTGTTTCAACTGCGGAAAGACGGAAATAAAACAGCTTGTAAACAAAATGTCACGTAACTTTTTATTTACCTCAGGAAGTCATCAGTTTCCACAGCTCGTTAGTTCACTAGAGAAATAAAGTCTAGAGAAGAGCATTTCACAAAATATTAGACCATATACTCATTATATTTGACTTTACCTGTTAGTGATGTCTTAATTATTTAATGTATCTTTAAATGAATCTGTTATGAAAAAGTATGACAGCCACTGTGTAAATGAATATATTTCACCAACAAGACATTTTAAAATGTAGAAGTTAATTTAAAAACAGCATTATGTGCAATTTACATATTTGCATACAGTTTTTTTTATTTGAGTGGGTTTATTATTGTATTTAAAAATAAATAGTAATTGCCTATGTCTGTCTCTGAAGTCACCTTTACCGGACTTGCTGAACAACATCTTTGTCTGTTAAACACTACTTGTTCAGAGGTTTTAAAAGCCACTGCTCCCCTTAAACTTAAGAAGCCAAAACCTAAAACTGAATCATGGCTTAATGACAACATCCGTTCTCTGAGACAAGCTTGTAGAAGAGCAGAACGAAAATGGAAAAAGGACAAATTGCATCAAGAATGCAGTGAAATCTGCTAAGTCTAAATATTTTTCAAATTTAATTGCAAAAAATCATCACAGCTCTAAAGCTTTGTTTTCTGTTTATAGCTCTGTTTTAAATCCTCCTGTAAATGTGATTTAAAATCCCTCAGTGTTATTATGTGAAGGTTTCTCAAGGTTTTTAGTTGATAAGATCACTGTATCGCCTGAGTCTTGTTGTTCTTCAGTCACATGGAGCATTTTTGACTCAGTTTCTCTCCAGTCTCTCACAGAAATTATTGACCATTTGAAACCTTCCTTTTGCTCCCATGAGGTTCTCCCTTCACGTATTTTGAAACAAATTTTTGATTCGGTTGGACCCAGTCTGACATCTTTTCTGAATAAATGTTTAAGTTCAGGGACTATCCCTGATAGCCTTAAGGAGGCTACACTTACTTCTCTTCTCAACAAACCTTCACTTGATGTAAGTAATTTCAATCATTTTCTACCCATTTCGACGTTTCCTTTTATTACCAAAGTCTTGGAAAAATCTCCTGTCTTTTCTTAGCTCAAATCAGATTTTTGAAACCCTCCAGTGGTTTTAAGTCTCTTTATTACGGGTCTTTAATGATACACTGTTAGCGACTGACTCTGGCGACTCTGTGATCCTATTACTTTTAGACCTAACCTCGGCTTTTGATACAGTTGATCATAATATTCATAATATGTTATTTGGACATCCAGGAAACTGTCCTTAATTGGTTTAAATCATATTTAACTAATAGAAGTTTTTCTGTCAGACTGGGTAACTTTTCTTTGTCGCCGGCTCAACTTTCTTGTGGAGTGCCACAGGGTTCAGTTCTCGCACCTGTTCTCTTTTCCTTGTATTTACTTCCTTTGGGCTCCATTTTCAGAAAGCATGGTGTATCATTTCACTGCTATGCAGATGAAATTTATCTACCCCTGATACGCAATAAACATACTGCTCTGAAATCTCTTTTTCCTTGCCTAGATGAAGTGAAAACTTGGTTTTCTCAAAACTTTCTATTTCTGAATGAATCAAAAACAGAGGTTATAGTCTCTGGTCCCCACGAAAACTCTGGGAGTAGAAGTATTGACCTGAACTACCTTGCTGCCTTTATTTCCTCCTGCGTTTAGAATTTAGGTGTGTTTTGTGATTGTAGCCTCAAATTCGACAAACAAATAAATGCGGTGATTGGCTCTTGTTTTTTTCAGTTATGTCTTCTCTCCAAGATTAAATCTTTTCTCCCTGAGAAAACCTTAGAAATTGCAATCCACACGCTTGTCACGTCTCGCCTGGACTACTGCAACTCTCTCTATTATAGTATGTCCAAGTCTTCTGTCGCTCGTTTCCAATTAGTGCAAAATTACGCTGCAAAATTCCTCAAAGGATGGCGTAATTTGACCACGTTACTAAGATTTTGAAATCGCTACATAGGCTGCCTGTACATTTTAGAATTGAGTTCAAAATTCTTCTTTATGTTTTTAAATCTCTAAATAATCTGGCACCAAGCTATCTGTTTGAGCTACATCAATACAATCCCACACGAAATCTGAGGTATGCTGAACAGAGATCGGCACAGTCTTTAACAGCTTTTTTTTTTTCTTTGGCTTTCAATTCGTTGTGAGCTCGTGTCATTAATACGTGATCTGCCTTGTGCTTTTGTTTTTTTTGTTGTTCAGCACTTTGGTCAGCCGTGCTTGCTGTTTTTAAATGTGCGATATAAATAAAACAAACTTGAAACTTAAGTTTGGGCTCTGTTATTAATTGTAACCTTATCGTAATGTAAAAGGGCTCCCTTTAGTTAAGAGCAAAAGCTGTAATTATAATCAAATTTATTTAAACAAAGAGCAATATGTTAAGTAAACCACTGTTTAATAAAAAAAGAAGCAATTTTATGTTTAGTTTTCCCCCTGCTGTACAGAAATCGTACCGAACCGTGACGTCAAAACCGAGGTACATACCGAACCGTCATGTTTGTGCACCGTTACACCCCTAATATTAATCATGTTCTGCCTCTGCTGCTCTTTCTTGTCTTGTTTTTGTTGTTCAGCATGATCTTAGTTTGCGCTTTTTTTCTTTGTATCTGCATGTCAACAGACCGCCAGCGCTCATGGTCGGCTTTCGCTCTCAGCTGTCCTTCTTCTCCAGGTATCCGTCTTTCTTTTCCTCGCCCACATTTGGCAAATGCTCTCCTCTTTTCTTGTTTTCTCCAAAATGCATATATTTTCTGACTTAAATATGAGCATTCATTCTAGCACATCTAAACACTTCCCTGCTGGATTTTATGTAATGTGAGTTTGTGGTTTAATGGAGATACTGTAATTTTTTCTCTACAGTTAAGAAAAAACTGGATGGCCCTGATATTTCACGAAACAACAGCCTGATGGATGAGCTGGACTTCACGGCTGACATCCCTCTACCTTTAGTTACAGATGCTTCACAGTGAGTTGCTCTGGTTTTTATCCACCCATTGAACACTTTCTTCGCTCAAAATGGCATTTAATGTTTGCGTTCTGTGTGAACGGCCCTGAACATTTGCGTATGTGGTGTGAACAGGCAGGCACATTTTGGATTTTCCACTTTCCACTTTTAAAGCATCCTCACTTCATCCTTTTCCATCTGAAACATCTCAAGATCTTCCTGATCCTCAGCCGTGAGATGAAGGAAAGCACCTCTTTCTCTCTTTCAGTCTCTTAAGAAGCCCGTTTGTGGCAAAGGAGGAAGAATCAGTCTCTACTCAGCACCTTAATACAACCAGGTACTGTTTCCTGTCTGTTTCCCGTCTGTTTCCTGTCTCTTTCCTGTCCTGTGAGTTTGATTATGTGGTCAGCCTGGATGGTGAGACGTCCTCTAACTTGTGTCTCTCAGCTGTGGTGATTTTTTTCTAATTTTTTTTTACTTGAACTATATTTTAATGTTTTTTTTTGTTTTTTTTACAAAAAAACTATAATTTAGTAAGCCAACTCAATTCAGTGAATCATTTCTTTCAACCAGTTCATTTCAATGAATCTTTGAATCTGTGAATCTTTATGCAATTAATTGTTCCAAAACATCTCGGCCACCATGATTTAAAAAAAAAGCCAGTGAGTTGTTAATTTGACTGATTCAGTCTGATTTGTGAGTGACTCATTCAGATTCCCACGATTCCCACGGTCCTGGAAAGCCTGAAAATATCAGGCAATTTCAAAAGTGTGATTTTTCAGGACTAAAAAAGTCATAGAAATTAATAAAATATTTTAAGATTTTGGAAAAGTCATGGAAATTTCCAGTCAATGTAATTTTTTTAAATGATCAGTTATAAATTATTTATTTGAGTAGAAATTATATTTTGAGAGTGAAATCTCTATACATTGATTTTTTTTTTCATGGAAATTTTCATATCCAATAATTTTTTTTTTTTAAATATGATAAATTCTAAATTATTTATTTGACTAGAAATGATTCTTTGAGAGTGCAATATCTATACAAATGGAAATTTCCATAGCCAGTATACTATTTTTAATTTATATATATTTTTAAAGAAATTCTAAATTATTTATTATACATTGTTTAAAAAAAAAAATCTTTATCCAGTTAAGTCCTAGAAATTCTTGTATCCTATAAAAGTTATGGAAATTCAGTTATCAGAAAGTGTGGGAATATGACTTCAAATGATTCATTGAGAAGATCTGATTCAAATGAATGATTCTTTCACAAATTCACACAGATGATGATTTGATAGCTGAAATTATCTTTTTATTTTGAATGTTTTAATTTTTACTTTTTTTTTGTAACACTTTCCATTAATGTGTGATTCAAATGCGTGATTTTCAGGACTAGAAAAAGTCCTGGAAATGAATAAAATATTTTAAGATTTTGGATAAGTCATGGAAATTTCCATAGGCAATAAACTTTTTTTTTTTTTTTTTAAAGATATGATAAATTCTAAATAGTTTCTTTGACTAGAAGTGACTCTTTGAGAGTATAATGATTTAAAAAAAATATATATATCTTAATCAAGTTAAATTCTGTAGTATCCTAGAAAAGTTACAGAAATTAATTTGTCCAAAAGTGAGAACCTTGTGTGACTCAGTTCAGCTGATTCACTGAGAAGACGAATGAATGATTCTTTCACATATTCACACAGACGATTATTTGATAACTGAAATGATCTTCGCCCAAACTCATTATTCTGGCAAGCATGAAATGTTAAATGGCTTAGTCTGCATCTATAGTATCAGTCTGTAGATATGAGCGTTTGGCTGGGCTGCACACACAGGTCTGTTTCTGAGCCACACCTGTGAAAGCATCTCATGTGACATTCAGCTCGTCCTCTGAGTTCTCCTGACACTGGACACTTTCTGCTCTCCTGCCGCCTATGACGAGGTGTGTCAGCGTGGGTCTGTCCGGGGGAATGAAAGGATGTCTCTCTCATTAGGGCCTGTGAGAAGCCCTGAAGGGGGGAAATAAAGAACAGGAAGGGCGTGAGAGAGGAAGTGGGCGGCCCGTGGTGTAAAGGGATGCTGCGTGTAGATGCAGAAATTACTTTCTGCTCTCCTGCCGCCTATGACGAGGTGTGTCAGCGTGGGTCTGTCCGGGGGAATGAAAGGATGTCTCTCTCATTAGGGCCTGTGAGAAGCCCTGAAGGGGGGAAATAAAGAACAGGAAGGGCGTGAGAGAGGAAGTGGGCGGCCCGTGGTGTAAAGAGATGCTGCATGTAGATGCAGAAATGTCACACTTTATGACATTTAAAGGAACAGTTCACCCAAAAATGAAAATTTGCTGAAAGGTTACTCACCTTTCAGATCATCCAAGATGTAGATGAGTTTGTTTCTTCATCAGATTTGGAGAAATGTAGCATTGCATCACTTGCTCACCAATGGATGTGAATGGGTGCCGTCAGAATGAGAGTCCAAACAGCTGATAAAAACATCACAATAATCCACAAGTAATCCACACCACTCCAGTCCATCAGATAATGTCTTGTGAAGAGAAAAGCTGTGTGTTTGTAAGAAACAAATCCATCATTTAGATGATTTAAACTCCAAAGCTCTATCCATAATATTCCTTCTCCAGTGAAAAAGTGGTCTCGTCTGAATCAGGAGAGAAATCTGCAGAGATCAAGCACAGTAAACAGTCTAAAACAGCTCTAAACAAATCTGTGGCTAGATTTTGATGTGAGAGACAACAGGAGATGGACTTTTTCACTGGAGGAGGCGTTATTATGGACTCGTATTTTGGTTAGAAGCGATGGTTTAGTGTTAAAATGCCTTAATGATGGGTTTGTTTCTTACAAACATGCAGCTTTTCGCTTCACAAGTCATTAAATGATGGAGGTTGATGTGCTGTTTGACCTTTGACCCCATCTGTGAATCTGCCTGCTGCCACAGTATCATCCTGATCCCCCGAGTCTCAAACTGAGACTTAGAAGTGTGAATGAACTTTTGTGAAATATTCCACTACAGTTATTTTGTCTGATTAGCAAACGGTCCACAAAAGCATATTGTTCTCTGTCGGATATTCGCTCTAGTCTCGCCAAGAATGAACTGAGTGGGAACACGTGTCGTATTGATACGCAACAACTCTGTCTGAGAAAACCTATAATGAGAGGATGAGGTGGAGGAGGAGAGACCAGAGCTTATTGGGATCATTTACACTGTGAATAACTTCAGTCACAGACGGTTTCTGATCATACAGACCGAAGAACTCAGAATCTCAGTTAAGGATGTAGTATTGTCTTTCTCTCTTTCTCTGAGTTTGTTTGGCAGGCTGTGCTTCTCATACTATTTCCACAGTATGCTAATTCAGAGTGTGCAGTATACAGTCAGAGCACACACTGTATCCCACAATGCAATGCACTCGACTTGACCTTCTATTTCTAATGTGAATGGAACAAAGCTTATTCATACATTTTCTAACAGCTGTTCATACATTTTCACAAATTGTAATAAAATGCAAAATAACCATTTTAAATATTTACTGTGTATTAAATAAACGTGAATAATATGTATACAAATATAATTTATGCTGGAGGTCTTGAAATTACTTTGTTTATATATTTAGATTCTATTTTTATATATTTATATAGTTTTTATTTGAAACTTTTTTTTTGTTTTGTTTACTATTTTACTTTACCATTTTTAATAGTAAAAGTATTTTTTATCAATTTTATCTATATAATCTATTATACTTTTATGTATTATGTAGTACAATTTGTGTGTGTATTTATATACTATAAATACACATACTACAAATTTTATAAATTAAAATGATTAACATTTATATATATATATATATATTTCAGCTAGTTTCCAAGGCAACATTTCTTATTTTCTTTGTTTAACGTGTATTTATATATTATTTTGATGTCCTTTTTTAATATTTAATATACAGGGTATTATAGTTGATTCAAACTAAAACCCTAAACAAAAACAAAAAAACATTTTAGTTACTTGAAATAAAATAAACTCTAAATGAAATCAAATAAAAATTATATATATATCAACATTTCTAATTTTCTTTGTTTAACATTATTTGACATATTCTAATAATAATAATAATAATAATAATAATAATAATGGCAAAAACACAGAATAAAATTACTAAAACTAAAATGACAACAGAAATGATAAAAAAAACAATTATTTCAAAATATTAACAAAAACTGTAATATACTATAATAGAATCTCAGTGATACTAAAATAACAGTTAATAACATTCCATGTCATTTGTGATCTGCTTTTTCAAATCTAAGCTATTTTTTGTCTCAATCTTCATCATTTTTTTTCTCAATTGTGATTTTTGAATCTATTTTATTTTATTATTTTTTTTGCACATTTCATTTTTATTCTATTCCTTTCATATCACAGTTGTTCGGTCACATCGGTCGCCGGTTGTTGTTTTTAATTGTGCTCTATAAATAAACTGACAGAGTCATTGCTTTATGCACTAAAGTACAAAGGAAGTCTCTTTCTAATAATAAATGTGTATTTTTTATATTTTTATGTTGGATGTGTATTAGTGTATAAATACCAAGATGCGACTCAAAGTGTGTCAAAGCGATGGAGCATTTATAAGTCGCTGTGGATAAAAGCGTCTGCCAAATGAATAAATGTGGAGCAGGTCACATATATGTCATGTTATATGCTATTTTTCTACATTATACAGCACAAAATAACTTGTTTTCCAAACACAGCCCGTCTGTCTCTTTTTCTCCGTCCTCCACCCATGTTTATCCTGCACAATCCCAGAATTCCTCTGTGATATCATTCCCGGAGCATGTGTGTGTGTTCGTCAGGTGGAATGTCTTTCTCCAGCCGCTTAGACATGAGAGCTGAACTCCGGTCGGGTTTGAGACGGTTTAACCAGACAGACTCGGTGACAGCTCTTTTCATGAGGACTGAAATGAAAGCGCAGGATTAGTAGGGGCTCGTGTCACATTAATGAATTGCTGTGGCGTTATGAGAAGATCTTTTACTCTGTTCTGGCTGGAATGTTTGGAAGTGAGCTGAGCACTTAAACCGTTTGCACCGCCGGCTCCTGGTCAAATATCATTCAGGATTTCCACGGGATTTATTGCTTGTGTAACAAGGCCACTTGGCTTCCAGTCTCGTGTAGTCAGACGTAATCAGCAGAAAGTCCCGTTTGGAGCTTATTCTGTGTATTTTTAATAATATTTAAATTAACTTTATTAATGTGTCTGTATTTTATATTTATATTCTGTATATATACTGTATATAATATATATGTATATATACACACACACACACACAGTCACAC